TGGCCGCCAGTGCACGGCTAATGCCGCCACGGCTATCGCCTACTCCAGTTCCAAACCATTTAATGAATGGGCCCCATCTGACTTGGATCGAATTTTATTAGCTGGTAATACATATTTCAACAGGTGCATGTCACGACTTGCAAACAGACCGCAATTTTTAAATACTGAAGAGCTATTACCCGCAGTTTCTGTGGCCGCTACAGAATTCGAATTAAATATACAGCCCGATGTTGTCGTTGGAGTTGTTAACTCGAGTGCGCCATCTGACGTTCTTGAAGGATACTTCCCTAATTTGTCTTCGGGGATTGAATATTTTTTTACAACACACGATAAAGGAATTATTACATGTCAAACAAATATTGCATTGGCGGTAATGAAAGTAATCGTCGAACGCAATCAGTCTCCCGATGTCGAGATCCCAGAATATTACTTATTCGACTCACATTCTCGGGGACCCAAAGGTTATGTTGCACCTAACAGAGGAGCCTCCATGTTGATGAAGTTTGCAAATCAAGGCGATTTATGTCAACATCTTGCTGTTGCACTACAGGTAAGAGGCCATCGAGATATGCAGTATAGTATCACAGCTATAAATGCAACACCCTTGGTCATCCCAAATGAATCGCCAGTACTGAATGAACAACACGACACTCAGATAGTTAGCGACGGCAATCTGAATAGCAGTGATCCTGTGCACGAAGAACACGCGTTTGTTACTACAGCTCTTATGCCGATTGATACTAATATTCCAGATCTAAACGAAGTTGTTTCGAACGCTAATACCGTAGAAGAGAGACCAATACCTATCTACGAACTCAAACGGAAAACTGTGCCCCCGGTCAGCGTCTTGAGAGAGCAAAGAGCAGAAGAGCTAGCGTGGATAAGGTTATTCCCAGATGGTCGAAATGGGCTTAGGGAACAAAGACCCGTTCCAATAACACCGCTCGATTACTACCAAACTCGAGTGATGAGCAATGACAAACGGTTCCAATTTAACGAGTACATATATTACGCCCTCTCGTTAGTAGAACTTTGCAAGGCTCAACAAAATGTTTCAGTCTGTGGCCGGTTGCGTCAGGATGGAGCTGAGCCCACAGATGTTGTACAAAATGTGCACCTGGTAATGCGCAACATACGTGGCACGTCCGCGTACTGGCACAAAGCGTATACGGATCTTCTTGCCATGGTGAAAAATTTAGGTCCTCCTCATTGGTATCTTACTCTCTCTTGTAACGATTTAAATTGGCCCGACATGCTAAAAGCCCTTTTAGTTGCCGATGGCCGCCCAAATTTTTCTTTTGAAGATTTGACCTTCCTTGAAAAGCAGCACCTTGTCGAGTCCTACCCAGTCACGTTATCAAGACAATTTATGTTGCGCCTAAACACTTTGTTTACTAGGCTGAGAAGAGAAGAGGATCCGATTTTAGGAAAGAAAATTATTGATTTTTGGTGGCGCATAGAATTTCAGCTACGAGGTAGCCCTCACGTTCACATGGTTTTATGGTGTGCTGATATGCCGGCTTTTGACACCCCTGAAGGTATTCAGTTGCTGGAGCGTGTTGTCACGTGTGAGGTTCCCGACGCTGAGGACGACTCAGAGATGCATGATTTAGTCGTTCAGTTACAAACACATCGACACACTCAAACATGCTTCAAAAATAACCGAAACGTTTGTAGATTCGCTTTCCCGAGACCAGTGTCTGAAAACACTACAATCTTAGACGACGAGCAAGCAATGAGAAATGGTGGAAGATTTTATATATTAAAAAGAACAGATTCGGAAACCATGATAAACTGCTACAATTCGAGATTATTAAAACTGTGGCGCGCCAATATTGATCTACAGCCTTGCGGGTCAGCTTTAGGTGTGGCGTACTACATCTCAAAGTATATCTCAAAAGCTGAACCTGCAGAGGTCTCTAGATCAATAAGGCAAGCTATAAGTGCTGTAAGAGACCGCGGTGGAAGCAACTTGGGACGGCTGGTTTTTGCTATCCAAAACGCAATCTTGTCTCACAGAGAAGTCTCTGCCAACGAATGTGCGTTTCGATTGTGTCATTTAAAATTAAGAGATAGTTCACGTAAATGTGTTTTCGTAAACACTTGCGCGCCTGAACAAAGATACCGAATGCTTAGGATTGACACAGAAAGTTCCGAACCGTACAAAAATGTATTTGATAGGTACGTTCACAGACCTCTTTCTCTGGAGCAACTTAGTTTAGGTGAGTTTGCGATTTGGTACGAGGTTGCCTCTACTAGAAACGATACAGAGGAGGATGAACAAGATGCTGATGCCTATGATGCAGAGGATGAGGACGTGTCTAGTCGTCGATACATTACCTTATTAGACAACGTAGGTAGGATGAAAAAGCGGACACGTCCAGCTATACTCCGAACGCGTTATTATACGCTGTCTTCAGACCCAGAAGCATATTACTACTCATTGGTCCTGACTCATATTCCGTTCCGAGCAGAGGAAGAGTTGTTGGATGGTTTTAATACTGCAAAAGAAGCTTTCTGGGCCAAAAGGCATCGACTACGTCCGCTGCAAGAAGGTTTTGACGCCGAAACTATGATGCGGTGGGAAACTGAGATCCAACAAGCTATAAGCCGCATTGTGGCAGAAAACTTGGCAGCAGGAACCGTTGAGGAACAAAACGATGACGCAAATGACAACAATGACGTTCAGCCTATTGAACACATACTCGACGACGGCGGTCATAATATTATGATCGAAGAAGTCGAAGATGAACCAACTGACATAGGCATGCTAGACAATCAGTTTGAAACATTTGTAGCTTCGTTGAACATAAGTCAACGACAACTGTTTCAAAAAATTTCCCAAAAGTTATTGGACGTGTCAAATTCTGATCCGTTACTAGTTTTTGTTACTGGAGGAGCTGGTACCGGAAAAACATTTACCTTAAAAGTTATGACTGAACAAATTCGTAGGTTGAGTAACACTGAAATAGGTAAAAACGTGATTGTTACTGCACCAACTGGAGTAGCAGCCAGACTAATCGGTGGAACTACACTGCATTCCACTTTTGCGCTACCAATTGAAAAGGGAAGAAATGAAACATTACGCCCACTAACAGGTGAAAGGCTGCAAAGGGAGCGACAAAAGTGGAGGCATATAAATTGGCTCATCATCGATGAAATATCAATGGTGCCCTACTTAACACTGCGAAACATTCACATTCGCCTCCAGCAACTAAAACAGGATCAAGGGAACTTTGGTGGTATCAATGTAATTTTGTTTGGAGATCTCATGCAGTTACCACCAGTTTCCAGAATCACCGGTGGTTCTTACTGCTTCCGACAGCCGTCGAACTTAACTGGTGAAACAAATCTGTGGCAATTGTTCAGCTTTTGTGAATTGCCACAGAATATGAGACAGGCAGGAGACAATACCTTTGTGGACATTCTCAATAATATTCGTGTTGGTGAGTTAACGATGGACCAACTTGAGATCCTGGACAGCCGCAGAATTCCACTAGAGGGTCCATTTGCCGATGGAGAGGCAGTTCGAATTTTCCCTACTACGAAACAAGTCGATGCTTATAATTCAGCCATGACTAAAAAGTTGGGCAAATCGTTAAAGCTCTACCAAATAAAAGCTGTTGACATCTCCCTAGAAGCTAAAACCTACGGTCAGTGCCCTCGCAAACAATACATTTCTGACGACCCGAACAAAACAGGGGGCATTCTCGGCACACTAACTATTGGAATTGGATCTCGCGTGATGTTACGCCGCAACATCAATGTAAACCACGGTCTGGTGAACGGTGCTATGGGTATCATAAGAAGAATTGAGTGGCCTTCTCTTCGCAGAGAGCAGTTAGAACCAGGTGAGTTACCGCAGGCAGTATTCGTAGAGTTCGACGATCGTTCTGTTAAGGGCAATGAATTGGGTGTGGGGGTTCGCATAGAGCCCTCCACTGTCGACTTTGATGCGCTTCGCGGACAAGGGAAGATTGAACGTCGGATGCTGCCTTTGATACTTTGTTGGGCTGTAACGGTACACAAACTGCAAGGTACCACCTTGGATCGGGCTGTCGTGGACCTATCAAACGTGTTTGCAAAGGGCCAGGCTTATGTAGCCCTAAGCCGTGTTAAAACACTTGCTGGGTTAGCAATAAAAACACTTGACCCGAAAAAGCTGTTGGACCGGCCCCACGACGAATGTTCTTTAACTGAACTTGAACGTTTGCGGGATCTTCAGCAGTAATGACTCACCTAATTCTTTTTCTTCTTCACTACAAACAGTCCAGATTGGCGGTAAATTTATGTTGCGGAGTAACATCACTCGTAATCTAAAGCCAAATGTCGTCGAAATAATTTAAAATGGTACTTACATATACATAGTCTTCTACATCTACAACATTTTCGTTAAATAAAAACAGCTAAAAAGTTATAAATAAAAGAATTATTATTAAAAAAACAAAATACCCGACTGCACACTAAAAAAAGAGTAAAACAAGCCACACAATAATATTGATCAATCAAATGCTAAAAACTAATTATGTAATACCGTTTAAACAATACCTATATTAAAATACACTACAATATGTGTTCGTAATCGATAGTTAAATAAACAGAAACTTATTTTGAATACAAATTTACTGAATATAATTTATTTATAAATGTTGATGGAAAGCATCGCAGGCGGGGACCACCTTGACCGCCACCAACGAAAATTCTGCTAAATGGTGCACAACCGAAATGACTATAAATAAGCCTCTGTTGGTCCCCGCCTGCGATGCTTTCCATCAACATTTATAAATAAATTATATTCAGTAAATTTGTATTCAAAATAAGTTTCTGTTTATTTAACTATCGATTACGAACACATATTGTAGTGTATTTTAATATAGGTATTGTTTAAACGGTATTACATAATTAGTTTTTAGCATTTGATTGATCAATATTATTGTGTGGCTTGTTTTACTCTTTTTTTAGTGTGCAGTCGGGTATTTTGTTTTTTTAATAATAATTCTTTTTTGTTATACTTAGTTATTTGTAGTTTGTTTAGCTAGCACTGAGTCACAGTTCACTTGGAGTGGTGTTTCGGCCAGTGTTTCATCGACAGCGATGTCACAGTTGACTGGGTCCAGTATTTTATTGTTAGCGATCACAGTTGAGTCATCGTGTTGTTTTGTCGCTGGTGTTGGTCTCACCGATGCGGTTCTGCCAGTGCGGCGATATCGGCGGCGGCGGCGGCGCAGTAGAGGCGCTCGTCGGTGGACAGGAGGCGAACTGAGAACGAGTTCAGGGTTAACGGTCCACCTTGAATGATCTCCACGTTGCCAGCGTTCGCCTGGGGAAGGTACAATTACAAATTAAAATTAGTTTATTTCAAGCGACATAACTCCTAATCATTATCCTGGTTCATTGAACAAAAATTCTGCTAATATAAATAAATAACTATTTCCAACACACACTCCAAAATAAACATATTTTGATACATGTATAAGTATTTTTATATAGGAAATAAGTGTTAAACACCCATAACTGGAGTACAAACGCTCGTATTCATCACACAAACATCTGCTCCCACCGGGATTCGAACCTTGGACCTCTCGAGTTACGTATGGGTCGCCACCCATACGTAATCACTACATAGTATAAAGCAAAGCCGCTTCCCGTTGCCTGTCTCTATGTCCCTATGTATGCTTAGATCTTTAAATCTACGCTACGGATTTTGATGCGGTTTGAAGCGGATGAAGGTTTATATGTATAATACATGCATAATTTAGTAGAGAAACACTGATAATTTTAGAGGTTTTTAATGTAATGTCGTAAATAAACATTTATATTTTGAGCTTACATTGCAAACGCTGGCTGAACCCTACCAGATATCATTGTTCAATATCAATCATCATCACATCAAAATATTGTACTACAATATTGTACACCTTAAAAAGGTCTACGAAAAAGTCCGCCATGCTATGTTTCTCTCTTAGGGATAACCCACAATATCATTTTTTTAATTACTTATTACGAGAATGGCTTATTTATGAAAAAGCGATTTTAAGCAATACAGCATTAATCCATATCCAATTCACTACCTTAAATACATTGTGCATGTAATATAGATCGAAATAGAATTTAAATTAATATTTTCGAAGATATTACAGATTTAAAATGCAGGAACATACCGGTTCTGCGGGACTAACCGGGAGGCCGGCGGCGGCGCGTGCCTATAGTAATTAGGTATTTAAAGAAAGTCATTGTGTTTAATAAAAGTCTGAGAACAAAAACTATAGCCTAAACTACAGCTCTACATCGAAGCGAAGCGAGGGCGGGCTACCAGTATAATTATATACTGACCAGGAACAGCGTGGCGAGGAACAGTCCGGCCACTTCGTGCGTATCGGCCGCTCCTTTTAACACCGAATGTACGGGGGCTGATGTTTGGGGCGCGGAGGGCAATGACCCCATCACCCTGGAAGCAAACGCTCGCACATCCAGCCCCCGCGCCGCGTTAGCCTCCGCCCGGGATAATATCTCCGCCTGCCACGACGACTGCAACAATACATTATAACTATTTATTTATTTATTTACTCTTTATTGTTATTTACAACAAATGGCGGACTTAATGCCACATGGCATTCTCTACCAGTCAACCATCGGGCTAAGCAGAGACAATTATGCGGTAAAGTAAATAAAAGCAAAAGGTGAAAGGAAAAAAAAAATTGATAAAACTACATGATACTTAATATAAAATTATAATACATAACATCTATAAATATACTTACATAACTACATATATATACATACATATTTATATATACGATAAATACCTAAATATATACAATAATAAATACCTCTATACTTACTTAACAATACTATAATAATACAAATAATAATAAAATATAATAAAAACAATATTAATATTAGGCGGATTGACCAGAGTTTGATTATAATATACTTAGAAATTGAAATTGTTATGACTTCTTAGCGAAATGCCGACGTACGAGGACCTTGAAAGCAGGTTTACTGGGTGCTTTTCTCACACTCTCCGGAAGATCGTTCCAGAGACGAATAGCTCTATAACTATATATATATATAGGGAATAGACTGGCAGGCAGGGCGGTCAGTGACCCCCTCACTCTTGAAGCAAACGCTTGTGCATTGAGCCCCCGCACTGCAGCAACTTTTAGCTCGAGATAACACCTTCGCCTGCGACGACGACTGCAACAGTACATTATCTAATATATAAAATTCTCCTGTCGCGGTGTTTGTGGTTAAACTCCTCCGAAACGGCTTTCCCGATTCTCATGAAATTTTGTGTGCATATTGGGTAGGTCTGAGAATCGAATAACATCTATTATTCATCCCCCTTCCACCCCTAAATTTTTTTTTTCAATTTTAGATATTTTTTTTATTTTTTTATGATAAATCATACAAAAATACATACATCCCTAAATTTTCAACTTTCTACCACCAACCCCTATTTTTTATGGCGGTACGAAGTTCGCTGGGTCAGCTAGTAACTATATATATATATATATATATATATATATATAGGGAATAGACTGGCACGCAGGGAGGGCAATGACGCTGTCACTCTTGAAGTAAACGCTTGTGCATCGAGCCCCGTGTTGCATTTAGTTTCAGCTCGAGATAACACCTCCGCCTGCCGCGTCCACAATGATGACTATATTATACAACATAAGTATACGTATTTACGTATAAAATTGTAGGTTACGTTACAGCCTCCTTGTTTGGGTACTCTTTGTTTATGTAATGCCTACGGCTGGCAGTCATGTTAACAAGTTATTGTCAGGGGAATCCTGCGCAACGATAACTCATACTTAAAATAAATAAATATTTCCAACACTCACACCAAGTAGGAGGAGCTCGATGGCGCAAGTGGTTGGCGCGTTCGGCTGCGATCATTGAACTTGAGCAACTTTCGCAGTGGTCGGTCATTGGATGGGTGACCAAAAATTACTATCTCGAGCTCCTCCGTGCTTCGGAAGGCACGTTAAGCTGTTGGTCCCGGCTGCATCTGCAGTCGTTAGCACCCACAATCCGCACTGGGCCCGCGTGGTGGGTCTTTGTTCATGTAATGCCTACGGCTGGCAGTCATGTTAACAAGTCATTGTCAGGATTTTAATATTTGAAATTAGGAATTCTTTGTCGTTTTGATAGAAGGTTCAAAGAGATAGACTTCAGGCACAAAACCATGTGTTGATAGATTAAGCTCAATTAGTATATTCGCCTGATTATCAATAAAATAAAAGAGTTAAATATCTAATTAGTTTTCATTAATAAAGTTACGCCCCCAGGATCTACCCCTTCAGGGTAGATCGCCGCAGTACTCAACATATCTTCTTTTACGCTAACTTGAAGTATGATTTCTTCACAGTTTATACCAATACCTCCACGCGTTCCAGAGTTTTTTTTTATAGATAGTTCTGAAAAATGACTCCACCCCACCTGATGTTAAGTGATGGTGAATTTCAGACGTGAAGATAGCTGTTTCAGCAGTTCTTGGTCTTGATAGACAGACAGATGGACAACAAAGTGACACCATAAGGGTTCTATCTCTTTCTTCTGATGTAACCTGTTGCGTCGCTGTCCGCGTCCGCTTTGATTGCTAATATTATAGAGGTTTAGCGAGACAAACTTACAGAATCACTGAAAGAGCTACTCGACGTATTGGTAGGTGTGATATGGTCGTCGACGCGCGACGCGTCGGTGTCTCCGAGGGAGCTTTGTTCGAATTACTCACTAATGACTGTAGTTCATACTAGTTATTTAGGAACTGTAAACTTATAATCATTTATGTCCGCTTATTATTAATTGTATTCATTTGTGATGCAAATAAATGAATGAATTGAATTAGCCGTTATATTGACAGAATTACTAGCATTATAATAAAAAAATACCGAGTCATTGAAAGCGCTGGACGTATTGGTGGGTATAAGGCTGCGTTTCCACCACAGATGTGCGATGGAAATGTGTCGTGCGAGGATGTCTAGCTGTGCTGTGAAAATGTGTGGGGATTTCCACCAAAACTGTGCGATGAAAATGTGCCTACGATGATGTGTAGCGGAGCTGTGAAAATGCGCATTAATGTGTGGTGCGAGGATGCGTTGCTTTATTTTCTGCTTCCATTTTTTCATCGCAAATTGTTAAATATAAAATTATCTTCTTTTTCCAATTATCCATGTCTATTTTGTGCACTTCTACTTCCAACAAACTCCGTCTATGGACTGGCTTGTACAGCGCATGCGCAAACCTCGCAACACACATTCCTCGTACACATCCCTCGCTTGTTTTGTATGCGCAAAAATCTAGTTCCGCTGAGCCTAGGGATGTCGAAAGTTGAAAAAAATATCGATATATCGATACATCGATATTTTAAAAAATATCAATATCGGCTTCAATATATCGCGAAAAAAACATCGATATATCGGACCAATTTTCCCAAAAATATACGATATTTTCCACAGCTCCTTTTACAGTAGCTCACGAAATATGACACGCGGAATAATAATGGAACGAAAATTATCTCCCTAAAAATAGACCCTATTTTTGAATGATGACATAGACAATACTAAATACAGCACAGATCATAGATATGTTGAATATCATTAATCTGAGATCTAGTTACGATTTTTCCAGATACGAATTTAGTTAGATCGTGATATGCCGCTAATCATTAAAAAAAAATCGTTTTTGATACGAATTTCGATATTGGTTATTTTGTATCGATGTATCGATATATCGAATCAAAATATATCGGCAAAAAATATCGATATATCGATATATTTTCAACAAGCCTAGCTGAGCCGTTTTCACCAGAGCTGTGCTGACCGAGGCGAGGTAAACGAAGCGATTCTATTGGTTCTTTACAAACACATCCCTCGCTATGCATCCTCGCACATCTCCGGTGGAAACGCAGCCTAAAGGGCGTCGACCCGCGACGCGTCGGAATCTCTAAGGGAACTCTGTTCGAAGAACCCTTCGAGTCGATCACTAATATTATAAAGGTTTAGCGAGACAAACTTACGGAATCACCGAAAGAGCTGGACGTATTGGTAGGTGTGATGTGGTCGTCGACCCGCGAGGCGTCGGAGTCTCCGAGGGAGCTCTGTTCGAAGAAGCCGTCGTCGTCGCTGTCGGCGTCGGCGCCCGCTGGTATTGTAGCCGCGCCCGTCACGACAGCGGCCGCGCCCGCTGCGATGGTGGCCGCGGCGTGTGCCTCGGCTGCTTCGCTGCTACTCCACCCGGGGAATCCTGCGCAACGATAACTCATACTTAAAATAAATAAATATTTCCAACACTCACACCGATTAGGAGAAGCTCGATGGCGCAAGTGGTTGGCGCGTTCGGCTGCGATCATTGAACTTGAGCAACTTTCGCAGTGGTCGGTCATTGGATGGGTGACCAAAAATTACTATCTCGAGCTCCTCCGTGCTTCGGAAGGCACGTTAAGCCGTTGGTCCCGGATGCATCTGCAGTCGTTAGCACCCACAATCCGCACTGGGCCCGCGCGGTGGGTCATGGCCCAATCTCCCTATTCCATCCACTGGGAAGGCCTGTACCCCAGCAGTGGGGACATTAATAGGCTGATGACGATGATGATGATGACACCAATTAGCCTAGCCCCAAAGCATTGTAAGGCTTGCGTTATGGAATACTGGGGTAACGGATAGAAAACATTATACTGTACATATATATTTATATAGAAATACATATCAAACATCCATGACTGCAGTACGAATGCTCATATTCATCACGCAAACATCTCACCCCCCCGGGATTCGAACTCGGGACCTCTCGAGCCGGCGACACCATGAAACCCGGCGTACGAACCACCCGGCCACGGAGGTCGTCAAACTTACAATCGCAACAATTACGTTTTCCCACTCCCCACGTTCTACCTTTTCAGGGCAGGCAAAGGGAACAATGCCCATACGGCGTAGTCTTCAGTTTTATAATATTATATTTTTTTTTTCATTACAATATCTTCTCATGTGTTAAATCATCATTCTAATAATAATGTGATTCTTAATGTACCTATTCACCATACTAGCTTTGTTTCCGATTCATTTATCCTTCCTGCCATTCGGCTCAGGAATGAACTTCCTCTACACGTGCGAAATCCTCCAAACAAGACTGCGTTTAAGACTTTGGCGCGGGAACATTACTTTAACCCCTTACCGCATATGAAGCCATTGGTGGCTCTAAAACTTTGGCAATTTTTTTTAGAATTCTATTTTATTTTTATTTCAAAACAATTGTTATAAATATCTTATAAATATTTTCATGTAACGGAACGTATTTTTTATTGGTCTATGGTTGGTGACATTTGTCAAAATATTTGAGGTTATGTGCAGCGCGGCCCACCGTTCGGATGCAGAAATGTAATGTTAATTTTATTTGTGAAAAGAAAGTAATAAATCGGTAAGTTAAAAATCCTAGAATTTTATATTGTGATATATATATGTGCTATAACATGAAACAGGTGCTTTTTTGGTATTTTATTTTGTTTTACTTGACTTATGGATCCTTTTTTGAAATTGCCATTTTTGGCTTCGTATGCATTCACGTTAACATTTCTAACGCTCATATATGGCTTTGTGTGTGTTCATTTGCCTTTTTTCTTTCTTTGCAGCAATGAATCCTTCTCGCTTTTATGGTACTTCCAAGCATGTTAACCCTATTCCTGGCGATGGCTTTATGAGTGACGATGAGCTTTCATCTGACAATTTTGACCACTCTCCCGAATGGAAATGTGTGGAAAGTGTAGAGTTTATTTGTGTTACAATGATAAACGTAACTGTTTTAAATATTTTCATAAGATATAAGTTTCTATAATGTTCCTAATGCATACGAAGCCATATATGGATATCTATTATTTCACTAGACTGCATACGAATCCATATATGGCTTTGTGGGCTAAATTCCAAAATAAGTAAAAAAAAAATTTTTTATTATTATTAATTTCTTAATTAAGACTAATAAAAGATACAATCGCTAAAATTTTTGTTTTATTTCATCCGTTTTATAATTCATGCAATAAGGGGTTAATCTATTGGAGAGCGCTTAAGCTCAATCAGATTACTATAATTGGACACTATATAATTAAGTATATGTATTTATGTATGAATTTTTGTTTATGTGTAATATATTATAGGTGATATTCCATTGATATATTGTGAAAATAACTTAAATTATAAGAATCCTGGTGTTTTGTTTGTGTAATGTACATGTTTTTGTGAAATTGGTTGTGAGTGCTAACCAATTTTGGATCGCTATAAGCGCGGTTGTTGGATGAGAAGAGCCAAAAGGAATCGTTCTGCCTTCCCATCCCTTCCTATCCATTTCTAAGGCAGATACCAAAGCCACAGACGACTTTCATTACATACAACTCGGTAAGTCATTTAGTTAGTTAAGAAAACCCTGCGAGATCGCAGGAGCTATTGTGTTCTAAGCCCCAGCTGAAGTATTTGTTGGGACAATACAATCATTAATTCCACTGCGCGGTCCCCTCGGCTTGGGCTGATAGTGAACATAACAGCTAGCTGGTAAACTTAGTTCAGCAGCCTGTGCCATACGTAAAATAAGACAACTTACTGATGTAGCTACTGCTAGAACTGTATACTTTAGTTACTTTCATAGTATTGTATCCTATGGTATTATTCTCTGGGGATCAGCAGCCGATATTGAAACTATATTTATCTTGCAAAAAAGAGCTATAAGGCCTATTTATCAACTTAGTTCTAGAACATCTCTTAGAGAAAAATTTAAAGAAATCGGGATTTTGACTGTTGCTTCTCAATTCATTTATAATTGCATACTTTTTGTTCGAAGCAATATTAACTATTATCTAAAACACAGTGACATACATTCTTTTAATACAAGGAATAAAAATAAACTCAAGATACCAAATTACAGGTTACAGAAGGTTCATAAATCATTTATGGGTCAAGGTATACATTTCTATAATAAGATTCCTATTGATATCCTTGATTTGCCTCCTCATAAATTTAAAATACACATTAAGAATTTACTTAAGAAAGGATATTATACTGTCAATCAATATTTGAATGATAAAACGGCCTGGTTGTAATTTTACCTATAGATAATTTTTCAAAAGTTATATTAAAACTAAGGCTCCCAGCCTTAGAAAGAGTTTTGAAGAGAACCTTGCACTTACTCCCTTTCATATACTTGTTCATTTTGTTTTGAAAATTGTTTCTTGCTATTTTGGGACTTATCTTTGCACTTATTGTTAGTAAATTAGTTGATTGTCTATTGTTACATATGGGGCATTCCACGCGAAGCGGACAGGTAAAAAAACTCGATGTTCCCGATTTCAGTAATATTTGAGTATGTTCTACTTATACTTATTATTGATACGTGTACTAAATATTTTTGTGATATAATGACTAGTTAAAGAGTAATGGGACTTTGAAGTTTTCGACAACCGGTTGGCATGCAGTACTTCAAAGCCGATTATGGACTCATAAAATTATATATTAAAATAACTAAACCACTGGATTTCCTACTTTATTTACTGGGCTTTTTAACTGTGTTTTTGGAAAAGAAAAAAAAATATTTTTTCGTAAAAAAAAAACCAATTTAAGTTTTTTTCCTTGATTTTCACCAAGTTAGACCATTTAGTTTTTTTTATTTTTTTTTATATAAATTGCTAATATTGTATAGAATATTGATGCCAACTTTTATAATGGGCGTGAAAGTGGATTAGGAGCTAGACTGAAAATACTGCCGAAGGGTGGCGTCCAGCGCCGCGCCTGTTGACCGCCGCTTGTGCGCGATTAGTCATCAAACTGTCAATCAAATAAAATCACTTTTGACGGAATGTTTTGTAGATTTTTAATAAAACCAATACACAGAAAAAATTCCACGCGGACCAGGCAGCAGACGGTACTCGAACCCGCACCCTTCGCAATCCCGGCGAATGCACTGACCAATTATGCTACTGCGGCCCTCACGGACCGCGTCGAAATTCCTCTAGCCATTCTTAAGCTGCAAGGCAGCGCCATCTCTTCGCATTATAGGTAACCCACAATGTCAAATGAATACTTTTACAAGTATTAAATATTTAAAAGAAGAAATAGCAATTAAAGTTATGATTTTTATTTCTTTAAAGCATGTAACTGCTTGATGTTTAAATCTAAAGAAAATATAACTAGAAAAAAATCCACGCGGACCAGGCAGCAGACGGGACTCGAACCCGCACCCTTCGCAATCCGGGCAAATGCACTGACCAATTATGCTACCGCGAACCTCACGGACCGCGTCGAAATTCCTTTAGCCATTCTTAATATAACATTGTGGATTACCTATAATGCGAAGAGATGGCGCTCTGTCTTGCTGCTTAAGAATGGCTAGAGGAATTTCGACGCGGTCCGTGAGGGCCGCGGTAGCATAATTGGTCAGTGCATTCGCCCGGATTGCGAAGGGTGCGGGTTCGAGTCCCGTCTGCTGCCTGGTCCGCGTGGAATTTTTTCTATGTATTGGTTTTATTAAAAATCTACAAAAAATTCCGTCAAAAGAGATTTTATTTGATTGACAGTTTGATGACTAATCGCGCACAAGCGGCGGTCAACGGGCGCGGCGCTGGACGCCACCCTTCGGCAGTATTTTCAGTCTAGCTCCTAATCCACTTTCACGCCCATTATAAAAGTTGGCACCAATGTTCTATACAATATTAGCAATTTATATAAAAAAAAATAAAAAAAAACTAAATGGTCTAACTTGGTGAAAATCAAGGAAAAAAACTTAAATTGGTTTTTTTTTACGAAAAAAATTTTTTTTTTCTTTTCCAAAAACACAGTTAAAAAACCCAGTAAATAAAGTTGGAAATCCAGTGGTTTAGTTATTTTAATATATAATTTTATGAGTCCATAATCGGCTTTGAAGTATTGCATGTCAACCGGTTGTCGAAAACTTCAAAGTCCCATTACTCTTTAACTAGTCATTATATCACAAAAATATTTAGTACACGTATCAATAATAAGTATAAGTAGAACATACTCAAATATTACTGAAATCCGAAACATCGAGTTTTTTTACCTGTCCGCTTCACGTGGAATGCCCCATATTTGACATTATGTGATGGAAGTTGACCTCAACACATGTTTGCAAGTTTGATGTCAACTTTCAATTGGACGACACTGTATGAAATAAAACAGGGAGAAAAAAGCAGCCCTTGCTGAGTTTCTTGCTGGTTCTTCTCAGTACAAGGTCTCCCGCCGTAGATTTGCGAACCGATGGCGTAGCTTTTCGACATTCACAAGTGCTTGTAACAGCCTAGACTGAATAAACGATATTGAATTTTGAATTTTTTGAATTTTGAACAATTATTATATGTCTTTTGTCCTTTGTTATGTGTAGTAAGGAATATATTTTTTATATGCATTGCTACAATGTTGTATATGTATGTAAACACAACTAGAACATTTACTATTAAAAATGCAACATAGATATAAAAACTATGTAAAATTAAGGGAGTATTTTTGATTGATGCACATTTTTGTTCAAAATATATTACAGTTAAATATTATAAAAAAACTTACCTCCTACATCCTTCTGTAAACTTTCGAAGCCTCGAAATTCTGAAACAATGAATTGTAGCTTATGGAGCTATTATGATAGCTAAAGGACACTTAAGAAATAATATTAGACAAAGTTCAAGCACCACCGGTAAAATTGGCATGGATATTATTAACTTAATTGTTATTATACAGGGTGTAAAAAAACCGATAACGAAGTCGAAGGCCAGGTATTTTCCACATCAGGACGATCATTTTTTTCTTCTGGACCATACCTGGGAAATTTATGGTTATGGAGATATTGAAGGTCAAAGCCAAAATATTTTTTTCAAGATATATACATTAATATTTTCAAAACGATATTTAGAAACTTTTTTATCGACGCACTTACACACACGCACACACATACACATTCTTTGCGTAGCGCCACAGTAGCGCGCCGCGCTATACATTACGTACTGGAAAAAAATGTACTTTTTTAACTTAAAAATAAAAAAAAAATCCCACGTATAATATTTTGTAGTATGACTTGTTTGGGTGTACAGAATGCGTAGTTTAAATCTTTGTCATAGGGTTTTTTACACTCTGTATAAACTAAACAATTTATAAAACGATTTTTACGAGTTATATGCACTGAATTTATTTATCTGACGTTTCGCAGCCTTTGCAGAACTGCGTATTCAGAAATAATGATTTTTTATTTACTTTGTCAAGCTACCTTTGGAAGACTTCTATTGAGCGATCGGATATTTCACTGTAAGATTTATGAAATGAAATATCCGAACGCTGAAAGAAGATGTAGTAAGAGTTTTCATAATTTTTCAGTATTGTAACTTTATCAAAAGAAATTATAAATATTTAGCCATTCAGCATTAAACATTATTAAGCACAATATTTATATGTACATTGCTGTTAGTCAGTCAGTCGCTCATACGAAATTTTACCATGTCCTTTCACAATGGTCGGTAATCGGATGGGTGACCAAAAATTTAGTACCTCTTACTCGTCCGTGCTTCGGAAGGCAGGTTAAACCGTCGTTCCCGGCTGCATCTGCAGTTATTAGCACCCACGTGGTGGGTCACGGCCTAATCTCCCTTTTTCATCCATAGGGAAGGCGTGTGCCCCAGCAGTGTAGACATTGATAGACTGTAGATGATGAGTGGTCACCTGTACAGTGTTGTGGACACAGCCGCCGGTGCCGCAGGATATGTCGGCTCCGTAGTTCTACTACTTCTTTCACCCAACTCTCTTGTAAGCTAAATTCTTGTAATTTCTGCAATCGCCGACGTACTTCTGCAATAGATAGTAACCCATCATTAAAATAGCCCATTTATTGGAACGAAGTTCCTTACGGCAGGCTTGGAGGGGATAGGGATTTTGCTGCGCGACCGAACTGAAAAAAATGTGATAGTAAAACCGTAAGAAAAAATCCGTGGAAAAAAGTGCGTGGAATAAAACCGTTAAATGAGACGTGCGCAGGCGCGACAGTCGCTTACACATTTTGCAATTTGTGTCGATTCTACATTAGCCGAAGGAACTTCGTTCCTACCTGGTGTCCCACGACACCACATCATTTATTATGAAATTTACCACGTGCAGCATATATAACCTCGTTTATGACGCAACGTTAGAACGAACTAGAATTATGCAAAAATTTGGTTTGGTTTCTTTTAATGCACAGTACCCCTAGCACGAACCATTATCGAATTCGAATAGTTTGCGAGTCCGAAATGTCCTTGTCAAATTTTGTATGAAAACTTGAAAATTAGCGCCATATCGATTTTTGTATGGATGGATGGATGGATTATTTTCCCCAAATCTATTCAGAGGGCCTGGGTTCAAATTCCGGTGAGGAAAATCATTATAAATAACATTAAATTCATAAAGCTATCATCTATAAGATCTGTGTTGTGACTATCTCACTGTACCAGGGATATCCATCTTCAAAGAGGATTTTTTGTCTGTGGATTATTTTGTTCATCAATATAGATCGTTTATGCAGTACTCTTAGATTAAAAAAGGAAATATATTTTTAAAGAAAAGTTTTACTAGAAGAAAATCCACGCGGACCAGGCAGCGGACGGGACTAGAACCCGCTCCCTTCGCAATCCGGGCGAATGCATTGACTAATTATGCTACTACGGCCCTGATGGCTGCGTCGAAATTTTCCTAGCCTTAAGCTGTAAGGCAGCGCCATCTCTTCGCATTGTAGGCAACCCACAATGTTAAATGAATACTTTTTCAAGTATTAAACATTTGAAAGAAGAAATAGCAATTATAGTTATGTTTTTATGTATTTTTAAGCATTCGATTGTGGGTTTGCACGTTTAGCCCAACTCCCATGGTAAAATGACTATTCTCCTTTGGGATAAATTGAGAAATTATGATTTTGTAACTAACATTAGTGTTGATTTTACACTATTTATAAATTTAATAAGACAACATAAGCTAATACCTTTTTTTTTTTTTTTGTCGACGATGGAAAATGCATTTACGCACCGTACCGCGCGCTGGCTGGGCGCTAAAAACCACCGGTACCCTCCTACGCCCATATGGGGGCGTCTCAGGATCAGCGCACCTTAGTGTGCGCCACTTCACTGGGACGCCCCCGGGAACATAAGCTAATACCTAACTATCTAACAAAAATAGAATCACAGGCAGTTTTCGACTTGCGTCGTTTCAAGTTACGTCGAACAATGTTTTGATACTATTCCTCAAGCATACGTCAATCGTTCCGATTTTCGGCATAGGAGAATTCACCGAGGTCAACGTCCGGGGGGATGTCTCGACTCAGTCGTTTCGACTCGCGTCGCGTAATCGAGAACCTAACATGCCGGAAGTGCGAGGACTGCCCGTATCTCTTATCTATTAGACAAGTCCGTCTGTCCGTGGTGCTGTTTCAGCGGCCAAACCGTAAGAGATAGATAAAGAGAATATTTAAGTTATAAGTTAAGAATAGTCTGATAAGACTACAAACCGGATTCGAGTAACGTAGCACTTCCGGTTTTCGAGAAATCAGGTTTTGGTGAACATTCGGTTCACCGGTTTGCTAGTGATACATCAATCGGTATAACTAAAAAGCACCAAACTCACTTTTATTAATGAGAATCTTGAAAGATCCGCTCATCAGGTCCTCAATCTTGGCTTCGCTCTTCCTTTTCCTCTCCTTCTTAACTGGCAACATTTGCAGCGGCGTGCTGGCGCACAATGGTTGCGGGGTGGAACACTCGGGGAGGGGCGACATGGGGGGCGATAGTAGAGGTGGGGGCGGGGGCGGGGGGGTCCCGGGTCGCGGGGGCAGTTCCGGGGGCGCGGCGGCCTGTATGGCGGCCTGCAGCTCCATGAGGGGGATGGGCCGCAAGCTGCGAGACCCGCCCCCATCCCCGCCTCCGTCCCAACCTTCCAGCTCGTCCACCAGCATGCCTTCCTGTTGCATTCATAAATTAATATTACTAAAATTATACTAATCTTTAAATATAAATAAATATTTCCAACACTCACACCGATTAGCCTAGCCCCAAAGTGAGCACTGTAAGGCTTGTGTTATGGGATGCTAGGGTAACGGATGGAATACATATATAAGTATATTTATATAAAAATACATATTAAACATCCATGACTGGAGTACACAAATGCTCGCATTCATCACACAAACATCTGCCCCCACCGGGATTCGAACCCGGGACCTCTCGAGTCGGCGACACCATGAAACCCGGCGTACGGAGATCGTCAATATTTTAGCACTTACATAACAAAGATTTTGACGACCTCCTTGGCCGAGTGGTTTGTACATCGGGTTTCGAGGCGTCGCCTATTCGAGAGATCTCGGGTTCGAATTCCATCGGGAGCAGATGTTTGTATGATGAATGCGAGCATTTGTACTTCGGTCGCGGATGTTTAATATGCATTTCTACGTAAATATAATTATATATGTATCAGTACATGTATTTTATCCGTTACCCTAGCACCCCATAACGCAAGCCTCCCCAGTGCCTACACTTCGAGGCTAAGCTTGATCGGTGCGAGTGTTGCAAAAAAAAACGAGCGAGCCCTACGGTAGTCGCGTATGATGTTCGAAACCTCACCTTAACATTAGTAAAAAAAGTAATAAAACCTACTACAAAACGAATAAGCTTTTCGAACATTATGTTCTAAAATCAAATCAAACAGCGTGCGTTTTCGCGACTTCCCGTTACACACTTCCGTCCCATTTCACAAAATCACTCCCGCAAATTGCAGAAAATCGAGAGGAAAATTTTACACATCAATAATAGGGATGATGACTATTTTTTTTTCCTTTATCAGGTAGATTATCAAAAAGTATTGGACGCGTATTTTTTCTTTTTTCACATAACATAAACATTGCAGAGATATATCGATTTGAAAAGTCGCATGACGTCACGTTTGAGTACACTTATAAGGGAAAATTCACTCAAAAGTGACGTCACTAGCCCCTACTCCCAAACTTTGACGCGCTATAACTTTGTCATTTTTTGGTTGATTGCCGTAAGAAAAAATACGTGTCCATTATTTTTTGATCATCTAACCGACGGACTGAATAGAATTTCGTTTACTGTACCCCGTTCACACTTCTATTTTAAATAGGAAGCGTTCTCGCTACCCGCTCACCTGCAGCCTCCAGGCGGCATGGAAGTCGGCCAACAGCCCGATGGGCTCCCCCTTGTAGTCGGTGAGCGGCCTGTCGTGAGCGGTGAGCGTGCGGGGCTCCAGCTCCACGTAGACGCGCGGCAGGGTGGGCGGGGGGCGCGCGGGGCCGGCCTCCCGCGTACAAGCGGCGCACGGAGATAGCTCTATAGGTTCGAACCCCACCCCCACCCCCGCCCCTCCCGCACCGGAAGTATGCCTCCGCCGCTTGCCCCCGCCCGAGGGCCCCGTCTCAGCCTCCTCCCGCTCTACCTCTCTGTAATAAAACATTGTTCCGTATTTATGTTTTTATTTATTTTTAAGCATTTAACTGCTAGATGTTTAAATCTAAAGAAAAGTTTACTAGAAAAAATCCACCGCGGACCAGGCGGCGGACGAGACTCGATCCCGCACCCTTCGCAATCTGGGCGAATGCACTGACCATTATGCTACCACGGCCCTATTCGCCGCACTAAACATAATTATGATTGCTATTTCTTCTATCAAATATTCTTCTTCTTCTTCTATAAAATTAATTAAAAGAAAATCAAATAATTAGAAGGCTATATAGCCTCTACGTGGCTCTCTATTGGTAAAAGAACTTCCAAAATCGAGTCAGGAGATCCAGAGAATAAGGGGGTCCTTACAACCTCACAAACTTTACTTCTTTATAATATTAGTTATTTAAAATAAAAGATGCAATTGCTAAAACTTTTATTTTACTCACTTATCAATACTTACGCGCTGGTGCATGAATTTTAAATCATGATTCCTACATACATTGTGTAAAAATAAGCATTTTAAGATAATATGCAAATTAAATGGAATTACTTTTTTAAGTAACAGCAGTATCGTTATTTTTTCAAGACGCGCTTTCACCTGGTGTAGCAAAAACTTCCCTGGCTCAAAACAAATAACTCTAACCTAAATTTATTTTCAAAGATTTAGATCATCCACGTCTTATTACTATCTAATGTAGGGTCTGAGCGTGGACGAACAGAGCGACTTTTCAAAGATGCCACATTCGTCTTCAGTGATTAACCGACGTTACTACGCTCGAGACAACATCGAATGCCAGACTACTTTGCATAGATGAATGAACTTACAGTGACTCACTCACGGTCGAGTTTGTTACTTAATTATCGAATTGGCTACAATATAATAGACACATCAAAAATATGTAGGAAAAAAATACAAACAAATCCAGTCTTCCTGACATGGTAAATTCATTTAACAAAGGCTTTTTGTAAAAGTATTTGTATGAGGAACTCGATGGCGCAGGTGGCTAGCGCGTTCGGTTGCGATCGTTGAAGTTAAGTATCTTTCGCAGTGGTCGGTCATTTGATGGGTAGCGAAAAATATTCTATCTCTAGTTCCTCCGTGCTTCGAAAGGCACGTTAAGCCGTGGGCCCCGGCTGCATCTGCAGTCGTTAGCACCCGCCAATACGCACTGGGCCCGCGTGGTGGGTCATGACCATCTCTCCCTATTCCATCCATAGGGTGTGACATTACAGGATGTATGTGGTGACTACTTTTATTTGGCTCCTCCGTGCTTTGAAAATCACGTCAAGCAGTCGGTCCCGACTGCATCTGCAGTCGTTAACACCCATCAATTTAAATTGGCTTTGTGGTGGGTCAAAAAAAGATTTCCATATTTCATCTACAGGTAAAGCCTGCGACCCAGCAGTGGGGGTGTCATAAAAGGGTGATAGATAATGATATAATTAATTTGTAGGTTCGTGAACCGATTAGGGGAGCCAACTGATGAGTTTAAACAACGTCTGTAAACGTAACGTCAAAGTGTGCGTGACAGATATAGCGCTTTCTTCTCAACCCACTCTCTGCTTGGGTGCGGCGGTTATGTATTTTGTAATCGAACTGTGTATTTGTGCACGGACAGCGAGTGCTGGTAGAGACAGTCCGCCTTGCGGCCGTACACGCTGGCGGAGTGCTGCAGCAGTAGCGTGTATGTGTGCGTGTGTATACTGACTGGGCTTGGTGTTGCAGCGAGTCGCTGACGGACAGCACGTGCTGGTAGAGGCAGTCCACCTTGCGGCCGTACACGCTGGCGGAGTGCTGCAGCAGTAGCGTGTATGTGTGCGTGTGTATACTGACTGGGCTTGGTGTTGCAGCGAGTCGCTGACGGACAGCACGTGCTGGTAGAGGCAGTCCACCTTGCGGCCGTACACGCTGGCGGAGTGCTGCAGCAGTAGCGTGTATGTGTGCGTGTGTATACTGACTGGGCTTGGTGTTGCAGCGAGTCGCTGACGGACAGCACGTGCTGGTAGAGGCAGTCCACCTTGCGGCCGTACACGCTGGCGGAGTGCTGCAGCAGTAGCGTGTATGTGTGCGTGTGTATACTGACTGGGCTTGGTGTTGCAGCGAGTCGCTGACGGACAGCACGTGCTGGTAGAGGCAGTCCACCTTGCGGCCGTACACGCTGGCGGAGTGCTGCAGCAGTAGCGTGTATGTGTGCGTGTGTATACTGACTGGGCTTGGTGTTGCAGCGAGTCGCTGACGGACAGCACGTGCTGGTAGAGGCAGTCCACCTTGCGGCCGTACACGCTGGCGGAGTGCTGCAGCAGTAGCGTGTATGTGTGCGTGTGTATACTGACTGGGCTTGGTGTTGCAGCGAGTCGCTGACGGACAGCACGTGCTGGTAGAGGCAGTCCACCTTGCGGCCGTACACGCTGGCGGAGTGCTGCAGCAGTAGCGTGTATGTGTGCGTGTGTATACTGACTGGGCTTGGTGTTGCAGCGAGTCGCTGACGGACAGCACGTGCTGGTAGAGGCAGTCCACCTTGCGGCCGTACACGCTGGCGGAGTGCTGCAGCAGTAGCGTGTATGTGTGCGTGTGTATACTGACTGGGCTTGGTGTTGCAGCGAGTCGCTGACGGACAGCACGTGCTGGTAGAGGCAGTCCACCTTGCGGCCGTACACGCTGGCGGAGTGCTGCAGCAGTAGCGTGTATGTGTGCGTGTGTATACTGACTGGGCTTGGTGTTGCAGCGAGTCGCTGACGGACAGCACGTGCTGGTAGAGGCAGTCCACCTTGCGGCCGTACACGCTGGCGGAGTGCTGCAGCAGTAGCGTGTATGTGTGCGTGTGTATACTGACTGGGCTTGGTGTTGCAGCGAGTCGCTGACGGACAGCACGTGCTGGTAGAGGCAGTCCACCTTGCGGCCGTACACGCTGGCGGAGTGCTGCAGCAGTAGCGTGTATGTGTGCGTGTGTATACTGACTGGGCTTGGTGTTGCAGCGAGTCGCTGACGGACAGCACGTGCTGGTAGAGGCAGTCCACCTTGCGGCCGTACACGCTGGCGGAGTGCTGCAGCAGTAGCGTGTATGTGTGCGTGTGTATACTGACTGGGCTTGGTGTTGCAGCGAGTCGCTGACGGACAGCACGTGCTGGTAGAGGCAGTCCACCTTGCGGCCGTACACGCTGGCGGAGTGCTGCAGCAGTAGCGCCAGCTCCGCGAAGTTGGGCGCCACGCAGCCCCCCACCCCGGGGCCCTCTCCCTCCTCCTCCCCCTCGCTCGCCTCCAGCGCGTGAAGCCCCGCCTCCGTCAGGTACTCCTCCAATAACTAGTAATTCAACGTTATCGTTATCGACTGCCGTACTCAGAGAAAAAGCTACTTAACTTTTGAGTTTGTTTTAAGTTACCGTTGTCAATTCTGGCATGTTTCACTAAAATTCAACATCAGTCTCTCTCTCTCATTCTGTTTAGAAAATTTTATTTTAGTTTTATACTTTCATGGTCACTAACATTATAGTAATATAAGTTATTTACGGGATTGTTACCATGTACCTTGTTTTTAGTGAGTTTCCGATATTTCGGCAATGTTGCAAGCGCCATGATCACGGAGTAACTGAGTTATTATTATGTTACTCGCTAAAAACAAGGTACATGGTAACAATCCCGTAAATAACTTATATTACTATAATTTAATTTTAGGTTTAGAGAATCATGCCAGAATGTACATTGCTGTCATCTTCTTTAAATGACAGGGAGAGACTATTGCTATTAAATTTATAAAGATCAAATGACAATTCAATATAATTGTAACATACAACTGATCTGATGATGGAATGGAAGGTGCCTATTTGTATAGGAGAGTGTGTATAGAGTTTGTACTCTGTAAGTAAACAACTAGAATATTAGGAATAAGATATTTAGATTAGAGATATTAAAAATAAACATATTTTATTTATCCTAAAACATTTTTGTTTTACTGAGTGTAAGCTGTATAAGATGGAACAAAGTTTTATACATGAGTTAAAACGTTGCAGGTATAGATACAGCTGTGCAATATGTTTGAGTAAAGCTACTTTAGTTCCATGAGGTCATTGACACTTTTTTAGTTTTATTTAAATTAGGCAAGGCAGCGGACATATTATTAGTCTTTTGTAAAGTTACGTATATCATAATATAACTGTATTTTTTTTTCAATGTCAACTACATCACAGTTTTTTTATGTATTTATGCTCTAATGTAGGTATTTGATTAAAATGTATTAACATTTGATACAGAACACAATAAAACCTTGTGTAAGTGCACAATAAAAATGAATTGGAAAATTTATTATTATACAGTATAATTTAAATAAATAAAATTGTACGCGACGACTGAAGCGAGAAGAAATAAAGTTTACATCGAAACGAGATTGATTTGTAAAATATGTCTATAATTTCACATGTGACGGATGTGTACATTAAAAATTAGTGTCCGACCGAAACTAGTTTTCCGGCCGAAACCGAAACCGAAACCGAACATTCGGCCGTGGCTTCAGTTTCGGCCGAAACCGAAACCGAAACTCACGTGGTCAAGTATAAAATTCCTTAAACTACTGAAATTTGGTCCATTTTACCGATTATTCTGCATTAATTAGGGCATGAAATGGAAACACAGTATTTTAATTTTGTTCTTATCAGTTATTTAATATACTAAAAAAAATATTAAAAATATAAAAAAAAAATACAAATAAAGTTCTCATAGCAAAAGGAGATTGCTCAGCTTCCATACATGTTTGGCCTAAAGTCCAATAATAATGAAAAATTGTTTCCTAGATTCGAAATTATATATAAATTACTGTAAAAACTAATATTATTGACGGACACCCCTGAGAACTTCTATAAACCATATACACTGAACATATTAAAATAATAAAAAACAAATAAGTTATATAGTAAACTAGGGAAGCCAAGTACCGAAATTATGGATTAGATTCAGGTATATAGAGCATGTAGATTAACAGATAGTTGCCTGTTTTTAAAGTTAATGCATAAGAGTAACTTTTAAAATCAGGTGTCATATATGCATTTCCGGTTATAATAAGGTACTCTGTGACAGAAACTGTGTGATGATTGTGAATGAGCCACAGATTAGAGAGAATTTTTAAACTCTCGTTAACCAAAGAAAGCTAAGAGGTTTAGGTTATATAGCCATATATTCAGTAGCTTAATTTTTTTGTGATTGTGCGTGTGATTTTTAGTGTATCACACCTTATAATTTTATTTATTTATAGTCAGGCGTAAGCTCATAGATAGATACCTTAAAGTCTAAACAGATTATAACGTGTTTATGGAGGTGTTTGGCGAAAAATGTATGGCAATAGACTTTATGATGTCGCCTACCATCTATAATAATTGTCTGAGCACATTTGCATGTAGTGAAAATGATAATATAGTTGTGGATATTAATACCACAGTGTAATAAAAAAAATATTTATTTTATCGATCTTTACAAAATAGATTTGTTTTTATGTTATATAAACAACTTCGATCAGTCTTTGGCTGTATGTTACTACACCCATAGCCATTAAAAATGATTCATATGTTTTCCAAACCAGTAAAATTAAAAGTCCTTTTTAAAGTGAATATATTATACAAAGGTGTCCGTTGAAATCTAATGACTGTAAATTAAATTACAAATTACGCCAAGAATTACCGTGTATGTCAATATTTTTTGTGCATTTGGGCCAATTTGAGCAATCTCCACTAATTTTTACTGTTTCATTAAATACTAAGTATTGGTATTTTGAAATCTTATTAATACTTTGGTTTGTATTTGTACTTAGAAGAATCATAAATCTCTTAGAAGTTCCATCATAACATAACCTCTAAAGAATGTTTGCATCGGGCGATAACGCACTAAGTTGTGTGTGCTACTGAGCTATCCGAACGGCGCACGAGAATTCCCGATCAGGGCCGCCAGCGTCCGCCAATGCATTACCGCGAGAAACGAAGTTAGGCGAGCCTGCACGACAACTTCCGTAATCAGTTTCGGTTTCGGCAAAAGTTTCGGCCAATTTTGGCCGAAACCGAAACTGCCGCCGAAACTTGATTTTTGGCCGAAACTCGGCCGAAACCGAACCTTCGGTCGGACACTATTAAAAATGTTATTTCCTTGTTGTTTTATTAGAATGAGTCGAATATCGTAATAATAGAGAGCTTTGTCCATAGTAACTGACTGTGAAATTGATAGTTCAAAGCGATATTCTGTCTCTTTCTCACCAATACTCTTATAAGAATTTGCCTAATCGATCGCCACGACGCCAAGCGGTGGCGCTGGGAAACTGTACTAGAATATGATAGTTCGGACCGATAGGAGGGACAGAGACGATAGGCTGTCTCTTTCTAGCATTCTTATAAGACTTCACCTAAATTGTTAGCTTTCGAAAATAGTATGTTTTTATGTTTGAATTGGTTTGTTTTATGTTTTATTAGGTAATAGGCAGCTATAAGATTAAAATAACAAAGTTTCATGTAGATCACTTTAATAGTTTAGGCGTAATTAAGGGAAACGTTAAATATAGTTTATTTATGAATATTTGATAGGTTATAGGTGTAATTTTAATAATAAAGCTTTTATCTTTTGTATTTTCACTTGCCCTATAGAATGATGTATGATAGTTAGGCATTAAAAGAATGTAACTAGGTTTTTGAATGAAATTTGAAAATATAAATATCACGGAGACCTATTTTTGCGCGTTACACCTAAAATATCATGTTTACGGACGCGCAACTGCGCTAAAAATATGCCTATTTGTATGCCTAATGTGTGTACGTATAGTTTTAAGCTCGCACCTATGTATTTTTTGAATAAATGGAAAATAAAGTATAGCGGGGTTGAGGTAATGGATCGCTGGCCAGCTCAGTCCTAGCATATAAAATTCGAGTCGGAACAGGCTCCGACATGCATTCAGCGACAGGCGCTCCTACCCTAAGGAACAGGAAGAAACAAGCGGTTCACTCTGGACCTGAAGCCTCCTCTCACCGGCCATCCATTATCAGCGCCACCGATTTCTTCAATACCGAACACCAGGAGTTTTATTCACCGAAACTACAGTCCACTATCGCCGTCAAGACTCCTGCATGTAACTTCCTCCACCCCGAAGTAAGAGTCGGTAACTGTCCGCTATTGCGACAGCCCCGCGTCCCGTACAAAAATAGAGACACATTTGAAGAAATAATTTGCATGGAGTAGGATTAAAGTTTTACTGCAATAAGTGGTAATGCATGTGTGAAACAAAGACATTTTTCAGTAAGTTCATTGACATTAATGTTTGGTTTCAAATAAGAAACTGTATTTATATTATATTTAAATAACCTTGATTTTATCTTTATGAAAATTTGCTAAATGTATTATATGATTTTTAAAGTTATTTGGTTGGTCTTAGTAACTGATAGCTCAATGATAGTGTAAAATGTAGGATACTTTAAGAGAATAAATTAATTGAGAGATTTATAAAAGACACACATCAGGCTCAATTGCCTCACCGTCCACGTCTTTATTTGTTACCAGCTATTTTATTTCCTTTGTTATCTTAGGTTTTTTCAAAATATTAATATATAAAAAATTACTGTAGTAAAATTTGCAAACATTGGAAGGGTATGGATTGTTGATAAAAACCAGAGCAGTATTCATAGACTACTTAAGACACCAAAATATATTTCATTTGTTGTTATTTTTTTTCCTTTTTTTATGTTTTATTTATTTTATGTAATATAAGTTATTTACGAGATTGTTACCATGCACCTTTTTATTTATTTTTCTCGAAATAATTATTTATTCACAAAAAAAGGAAAGCATGCATCCCTTGCTTCTGATCATCACATTTTTGTTGATTCCAAAAAACCATTAGTATGTCGACAAAATATTCAATGATTTTTTTTACTTTCTATCTCATATTTAGATTTATATGTTTGTCAAAAGAAGATTAAGAAGTCCTCACTTCATAAAAATATAATTTAAAAAAACCAGAGCATAATAATAATAAATAATACCTACCTACCATAATAATATGCTTATTACTTAACTATTCAGGTATTGTAATATACTGGGAAAACTTTAATTATTTTGAAATAATGTTCCAATTATTAATAATAAAGCTAGTGAAAAAACATTGGCCGAGTTCAGGATTGAATCACAGATCTTTTGGTATGGACCCTAAGACAGACTTCGTTCAGATATCAGTCTCTTACAACATGTTACAAAATTACGTATAACTACCCTACCCTAACTAACCCTGTGTCAAATACTCTACTTCCATTTCATGAAATCACAAGTCACAAAGTTAATAAAGAAGTATTCACTTCAATAAAAACAAATGGAAGAGACACTGCAGTAGCTTCTTCCCCTTATTATATTTCACAGGATTTATAAAAAAAAAGTTAAATGTTAGTAACATTTTTTATATCAAATTGTCTTCATGGGGTTGGCAATAAACAAAGTACAATTTAGCAAATCTCCAATTATTCCTATTTATTTGTTATTATGGCTTTTTTATCAGACACTAATGAAATTAAAATTTGGGTAAGATTATATTCTGATAAGAATTTTTAATTTCTCTAAAAGATAACTTGCTAAGTATATTATTATGCTCATCAGATTTTAAAGTAATGTGTAGTGGTTCTTGAGGTTATGTTATATGCTAATCATTTAAAGTTCAGTTCAGGGAGCCAATAGTAAATATGCAGTAGAAAGGTATACTATAGACTAAACAGACAAAAGAGGAAAACTTGGTGATAAGGTTATCATACAAGGGCACAATGAATTAACAAGGATGAAGAATAAGTAATCTTAATGTAAGGTATTGGTATTGTTTGCGAGGGAGTAAACAAGCTGGGGACGCTTACCGCGTTGAGGTCCGTGTCGAAGCTGCGGCGGACGTCGCTGATGGGCTTCATCAGCTCCGCCACGATCTCTTCCAGCCTCTGTGAGTTCATGCTCCACCTTTTCTCGCGACGCGATATTTCTCCACTCCTGAAAATAGCGTCCTTTTGATAATAACATAACTGCAGGACGACGCGGGCACGACTGAAATCTGAAGCACTGAACAGTGGCGCGAAACTTTCTGTCAACGACCTAATTTTAATTTGTTACACAATTTTCGAACTTCAATTAAACATTATATAATTACACATCAAAAGCTTTACCTTCGCCTAACCGGGAGCTCGGCGTCCATTTTATAAACATAAAATCGCGTGAGAAGGAAAAACGTAATAACAACGGTGGCCATTTATTTATGTTTTTGTGGGAGACGTTCCATGTTCGCTGACAGAAGAAACATTCGTTCGTCGTTCGGATTATGTTTGGGGTTCGCGGCCACAGAATGTATCTATGGTTTCCTAGCACAGATTACCTTTTATTATTGTTTTAATTTTTAATAGCTTTTGAATGCGGTACACATTTAATGTTTATATAAGTATGTATGATTCGGCACGATTCTTATGAAATATAAAAACAAGAAAAGGACATGTGTTGTCAAATTATGTAATACCTCCGCACACTCTCCGAAATGTAACCGATTATACACCGAGAGGCAAGCTACACGTCTTCAGTGTTCAAGGCTCTGGAGATTAGCCTCAACGAGAGCGTCATTGCCTATGATTTTCTCGCACGGTGTTCCACCGAGTCCAGTGCATCCAGCTGATACTGAGCAGATCCATCCCAAAGGTGACAACAGTACTCCAAGCAGGAGCGAACTTGGGCTCGGTAAAGGTAAAGGAGCTGCTCAGATGTAAAATATCGCCTGACGTTAGACAGTATTCCAAGTTTTCTGGCAGTGGTTTTAGCAATGGACACGATGTAGCGACCGAAATTGAGGCTGGATGAGATGTCCATACCCAAGAGCTGGAGATGGTCTTTAACCGGCACGGAGACATTTCGGAAAGTCGGAGTCAGATGAAATGGACTCCGTTTCGTCGAGAAGAGACAGGCTTGTGTCTACCGGACTCTTTCTTTCTTCTCTCTACTGGACATTGGCGAAACTTCTGTGTAAAACGGAGAAAGCCACAGGCAAAAAAAAATCTTTGAAAGATCCGTTATCGTATCGTCATCGTCAAATTTTGTACGGAAGGAACCAGTTTGTTGTCAGAACTAGCTGAAACAGTGTATGTTAGCGCCATCTAGTAGAAATAAACACACACAGTAAATTTAGTGCTAACCAATATATAATAGATGGCTCTGACATGCACGTACTGTGCATGTTAGCGCCATCTACTTTAAAAATTAGTTTTATTGTAGGGTATATGTAATAATAACCATATGTAATAACAACTAATAGTGGTGTCGATTCTAGCATGATTCTCTAAACCTAAACTTAAATTTGACAGCAGTATATCCTTGTCATTAAATGTAGTTTTAAGTTTAGATAATCACGCCAGAATCGACACCACTGGTGTCGATTCTAGCATGATTCTCTAAACCTAAACTTAAATTTGACAGCAGTATATCCTTGTCATTCTCTATACAGAATGAAAAGGAGAGACTGATGTTAAATATGCAAATGTAGTTATTTATATCGTGATTGGGCCCAATTCTGGCGTGCCAACTTATATCTAAAACTAACTAAAATTAGATATAGAATTGTCAAATTCAATTTGGTATTCTGTAATGACACAGTGTGCCGATTCTAGCGTGATTCTCTAAACTTATAACTAAATTTAACATCAGTCTCTCCTTTTCATTCTGTATAGAGAATGTCAAGGATGCACTGTTGTCAAATTTAAGTTTAGCTTTAGAGAATCATGCCAGAATCGACATCACTATCTCTAAATTTAAAATTGACGTTGCTAAGTTATTCAACTTAAATTTAGATGATTAAATGGTATTCTGAAACGCGTTCTAAATGTCATATTTTCTCTAAAATAAGAAATGTCACACTAAATTTAAGAAGGACCTACGGAGGTCCTCTCTAAATTTAAATGTGAATAATTGGGGCCAAATATCACGTAAATGATTGCTGTACTTAAGTTTTGAACTTGTTGTTAAGGTTGGATATGGGTTTATTTCGTTAAAAAAAAGACATTTTTATACAATAATGAACAACGACGGTGATAATAATATATTAGCTAGATCGTTTTTTTTTTAAAGGTAGGTGGGTCTATGTTACGATGCGGATTTATTATAAGCCTATTAATGTGTCATGCTTATAATAAATCCGAGCTGCAGCGAGCAGCAACATAGGAACTCGATTTAATACATTTTGGGTTGGTCACCCATCCTAAGATCGGCCATTGTGAAAATTGCTTAACATTCACGATCGCAGAACGAAAGCGTTACACTTGCGCTATTGTGGTCTTTCGTAGGTAATGTACACGTATATCTTGTATAAAATACTATATAATTTAAGGTAAAATCTTATATAACATAAATAAAAATCCACTTCATATAAAAACATCCGAAAAAGGTAAAAAATCTATGTACTAATTCTATAAGTAATACTTACAGATCCTACTTATATCTAAAGTACATAGTCAAATAATTAACAAGATAATAGAGGTATGGTGTCAGTGATTTGAATTCCAATCACCAATTGCAATCCAAATGTTGCAATTAAATGTAGGCACTTTAGACTTTAATGTATTATTTGTCCCTTTGTTTTATGTGGTTTTGTTTCCATGAAGCAGTTTTTAATACCTATTAGTTAGAAATGTTTTTATTTCCAACTTTTTATAAGCTAATCATATTTCTTAAAATAACCAAACACGAAATAAGTACCTACTGTTTGTATTTGAAAAGTTTGTTTTTATATATCCTAAACTGGGCACCTTCACCAAATGAATTGATCAAATGGGTTGATCTCGCCAAAAACTGAAAGAAACAAAAAGATAAAAAAAAACAAAATACCCGACTGCACACTAAAAAAAGAGTAAAACAAGCCACACAATAATATTGATCAATCAAATGCTAAAAACTAATTATGTAATACCGTTTAAACAATACCTATATTAAAATACACTACAATATGTGTTCGTAATCGATAGTTAAATAAACAGAAACTTATTTTGAATACAAATTTACTGAATATAATTTATTTATAAATGTTGATGGAAAGCATCGCAGGCGGGGACCAACAGAGGCTTATTTATAGTCATTTCGGTTGTGCACCATTTAGCAGAATTTTCGTTGGTGGCGGTCAAGGTGGTCCCCGCCTGCGATGCTTTCCATCAACATTTATAAATAAATTATATTCAGTAAATTTGTATTCAAAATAAGTTTCTGTTTATTTAACTATCGATTACGAACACATATTGTAGTGTATTTTAATATAGGTATTGTTTAAACGGTATTACATAATTAGTTTTTAGCATTTGATTGATCAATATTATTGTGTGGCTTGTTTTACTCTTTTTTTAGTGTGCAGTCGGGTATTTTGTTTTTTTAATAATAATTCTTTTATTTATAACTTTTTAGCTGTTTTTATTTAACGAAAATGTTGTAGATGTAGAAGACTATGTATATGTAAGTACCATTTTAAATTATTTCGACGACATTTGGCTTTAGATTACGAGTGATGTTACTCCGCAACATAAATTTACCGCCAATCTGGACTGTTTGTAGTGAAGAAGAAAAAGAATTAGGTGAGTCATTACTGCTGAAGATCCCGCAAACGTTCAAGTTCAGTTAAAGAACATTCGTCGTGGGGCCGGTCCAACAGCTTTTTCGGGTCAAGTGTTTTTATTGCTAACCCAGCAAGTGTTTTAACACGGCTTAGGGCTACATAAGCCTGGCCCTTTGCAAACACGTTTGATAGGTCCACGACAGCCCGATCCAAGGTGGTACCTTGCAGTTTGTGTACCGTTACAGCCCAACAAAGTATCAAAGGCAGCATCCGACGTTCAATCTTCCCTTGTCCGCGAAGCGCATCAAAGTCGACAGTGGAGGGCTCTATGCGAACCCCCACACCCAATTCATTGCCCTTAACAGAACGATCGTCGAACTCTACGAATACTGCCTGCGGTAACTCACCTGGTTCTAACTGCTCTCTGCGAAGAGAAGGCCACTCAATTCTTCTTATGATACCCATAGCACCGTTCACCAGACCGTGGTTTACATTGATGTTGCGGCGTAACATCACGCGAGATCCAATTCCAATAGTTAGTGTGCCGAGAATGCCCCCTGTTTTGTTCGGGTCGTCAGAAATGTATTGTTTGCGAGGGCACTGACCGTAGGTTTTAGCTTCTAGGGAGATGTCAACAGCTTTTATTTGGTAGAGCTTTAACGATTTGCCCAACTTTTTAGTCATGGCTGAATTATAAGCATCGACTTGTTTCGTAGTAGGGAAAATTCGAACTGCCTCTCCATCGGCAAATGGACCCTCTAGTGGAATTCTGCGGCTGTCCAGGATCTCAAGTTGGTCCATCGTTAACTCACCAACACGAATATTATTGAGAATGTCCACAAAGGTATTGTCTCCTGCCTGTCTCATATTCTGTGGCAATTCACAAAAGCTGAACAATTGCCACAGATTTGTTTCACCAGTTAAGTTCGACGGCTGTCGGAAGCAGTAAGAACCACCGGTGATTCTGGAAACTGGTGGTAACTGCATGAGATCTCCAAACAAAATTACATTGATACCACCAAAGTTCCCTTGATCCTGTTTTAGTTGCTGGAGGCGAATGTGAATGTTTCGCAGTGTTAAGTAGGGCACCATTGATATTTCATCGATGATGAGCCAATTTATATGCCTCCACTTTTGTCGCTCCCTTTGCAGCCTTTCACCTGTTAGTGGGCGTAATGTTTCATTTCTTCCCTTTTCAATTGGTAGCGCAAAAGTGGAATGCAGTGTAGTTCCACCGATTAGTCTGGCTGCTACTCCAGTTGGTGCAGTAACAATCACGTTTTTACCTATTTCAGTGTTACTCAACCTACGAATTTGTTCAGTCATAACTTTTAAGGTAAATGTTTTTCCGGTACCAGCTCCTCCAGTAACAAAAACTAGTAACGGATCAGAATTTGACACGTCCAATAACTTTTGGGAAATTTTTTGAAACAGTTGTCGTTGACTTATGTTCAACGAAGCTACAAATGTTTCAAACTGATTGTCTAGCATGCCTATGTCAGTTGGTTCATCTTCGACTTCTTCGATCATAATATTATGACCGCCGTCGTCGAGTATGTGTTCAATAGGCTGAACGTCATTGTTGTCATTTGCGTCATCGTTTTGTTCCTCAACGGTTCCTGCTGCCAAGTTTTCTGCCACAATGCGGCTTATAGCTTGTTGGATCTCAGTTTCCCACCGCATCATAGTTTCGGCGTCAAAACCTTCTTGCAGCGGACGTAGTCGATGCCTTTTGGCCCAGAAAGCTTCTTTTGCAGT